TATAATATAACCTTTTACTTATATTATAATATCTTATTTAAAATATTAGAATTATATATTTTATATTATATAATATAGTATTATTTTATAATATAGAATATTAAATATATATAGGTATTTATATATACCCTTTTCGCTATATTACTATAATAGGTTATATTATACGATAGTATACGTACGTGTACGCTGGCTAGTCGGTTCTCTTTTTATCTTAGTAAATATCTTTATCACTAGGCGAACTCTATTCTGTCTCCAGATAACCCTTTATAAGCGCGTATTACACTTTCTAATAATTTCTAGACTCCTTCTATTATATAAGGTAAATACTTTAACCTAGAACCCCTGCGCGACGAGATATATCGCCGCTACGAAGAGGGTTATACCGATTAGGCTTTATACCGTTTTGTAGAAGAGTAGATAGGTAAAGCGGTAACACGCCAGACCTTATAGCGTCGTTATAAGGTATAGAGCTTACGTAGAGAGACTCGTACGCTTATTACCGATAATCTTATTCGCCGTATTTACACGCTTTTCTTTAACGTTCTTAATAACGACAAGATACTCTATTAGCTCTAAGCCGAAGGCTTCTAGATCTTAAGGAGAGGTCTTAAACGAATCCGCAGATATTAGCGCCTTTAGAGACGTTAAGATACAGAATTAATCGGACCCGAACGCTAGCGTATAGAGCTATTCTTCGAAAAGAAAGACCTTACGGTATTATTTATAAGAGGCCTAGGCAAAGTATAGCTCTACACGTTTATACGCTAATAAGGTTTTATTATTAGCATATATAAGCTATACCGTATATTTATAAAACTATTTCCTAAAGACGTGGCGGTAAGTAATAAGGAGATACGCTACCGTCGAAAAGGCTAGATAACGCTGGGACCTAATTTTATTTAGTCTATAGATACGTACGATAAGTTATTACCCTTCGGCTTTAAAATATACGTAAGGATAGACGCGTACTTAAGGCTTATAACTTAGTTCTACGTGGGTGTATCCGCGTATATATCTAAAAACATACTCGCTTAGTATATAAAGATTATTTAGTAAGTTGGCTTTATCCCGTAATTAATCCGTTCCGACCGAGGTAAAGAAATGACGCTTATAGCCGGCGGCCACTAGTTTTTTTCCGCCGGCTTTTATATAAAGATAAACGCTACCGGATAAGAGGTTCTAATTAAGTTTAAAGATTACTAGGTATTTAGTAAAAGTATCTATAATTAACGGATTAGATTATAGTGGAATAGACTTTATTAATCTCGCGCGGCTTTTTAGCGTATAAGTATCTAGTATTTTCTCTATTTTTAACACTTTTTACTAATTCTTCTAGGAATTCTTTATTTATCTTTCCGAACACGGCCTTTTCGATCCTTATTCTATTATCGATAAAATTACTCTTCTCTACGTCTATATATCTCTAATTCAGACGGATTTTACCCGCTTTATATAAGTGTATAACTGCTATATAATTCGTGCCTAACTATCTACGCTATATATCGTGAGCGGAAAGCCCTAGGCCCTCTATTACTAGAGTAGTTCTAACCTTTACGTTCGGGTCGATCCTATACGGCTTCGTATATTAAAAAACGTTCTTATAAATAAGCTAATAAGTCTTAACTAATATCTTCTATATATAATAATAGAAATTTATAGTAGTATAGAAGCCACGGCGATAGGTTTACCAGAAATTCTTATTATAAAAGGTAAGTAGTATCCTTCGCTACCTTTATACGAGTATATACGAAAGGGGTTATACTTATACGATTAGGAAAAGAAAGAACCCGTTCTTATAATACTTTCTACGCTACGGGGTGGTATTACTTCGGTTAAAGAGTTTTTTAGAAATAAGAGGATTAAAACTAAGGATTTGGTAGTAGATAAAATTATAAGTGATAAAGACTATAGCGAATAAATAATTTAAATTTTCTGCTTTTTAACTATTTATAAATATATTTACCCTATTAATCTGTTTCGCCTTCTATTTTCGAGATTATATGCTTCCGTCTAGCCGAAGATAATACCGTTTAGTCGCGTAGATCTGTTATTAAGACCGGTATAATAACTTTACGAGATTAGCGCGGCTTTTATTCCACCGGTTTCTTATTTTCTTCTTTTAGTTCCACTTATTCGTTATTTTCTTACTTTAGTTCTATCTATTCCTCTTTTTCTTTCTTTAGCTCCGGCTAGCTAGTATTAGCTAGCTATAATCCTTCTTACTCTTTATCGGTAGCCTTTCCTTTACCTTTATTCTTTTCCGCGCGAGGCCGTTTAGTGATTTCTTTCTTTACCGTAATTAGAATATTATCTTCTTCCTCCGGCTCTTTTTATATAGTTATTTTTCGGCCCGCGCGCTTATAAGAAATATTAAAGTTAACTTAGTCGGCTTCCACTTCCGTTATACGAAGAAAGCTAAGATAAACTTCTTTTAAAAGTCTAATTCTAGACTTACGTAGTAGCGTACGTAAAGTGATAGTTATATATATCTCGCTTCGATAAAAGTCGACTTTTTACGGGTTTTTATCGTTATAGGGGAAAACCGTAAAGTCTCGGTTAAACTATTCTTTCTTCGTGTTAAACTATATAATAATATAACGTATAAGATCTTAATACATGGGTAATACTAGGTTAAGTAAAATAGTAACTCGGCCTATAACCTTTTATCCGAGTATATTTATTAATTTTTAAAAGGAGATACCGCCGCTTAAGACTATATAGTACTCGCCGCTATATAACGTAATACTAATTTCCTTTATCGGTGTGGGTTGCTTTTCCTTACTAGTTTACGCGATACTAACTTTTCGCTCTATCTTACTAAGCCGTAGCGCCCGTATTAGTATTTAACCTTACCGGGCTTTAGGCGCCTGCACGGCTCTAGTTTCCGTCTTAGGCTTTTATTCCCTTCTCGGTGGTATTAATTCAGTTAAATTAATAATAGACCTATCCGAAAAGACCGGTGAAGTTTCTTTTTTAACCCGGCTAGTGGTGTTAGGAGATACACTATAACTTAGGCAGACCGTCTAATAGGGATTTCGATTAAATAGAAGTATATATTTAATATTCAGAATAGGGTAGAGTAAAAAGACGTCCTCCGTTATTATATCGATAGTGAGATTATCGCGTTAAATTATTTATAATAGAAAGATACTGCTAGTAAGTACCGTAAATGCTTACGCGATATTGTATAATAGCTTTTAAGATAATTATATTTATACGGGCTTTAGATATAAGAGCCAGTAAGTATCGTAAATGCTTACGCGGTATTATAACAAATTCTTATTTATATAGGCTTTATACGTAATAGTTATAGGCGAAATTATTAACTTACTATTTACTATCTTCTGATATATAAAGGTAAACAGTACTACTAAGCCTACCTTCGGCGTATACCTAGTGATGCGTTATTACTATTTTTAGAAGTTATTACAGTGTCCCCTGCGGCATGCGGTAGATGGCCGGTGGGTGGTGTCTGGTGAGTCGTGACCACTTTTGATTCGGTCCTCTCACACTAACCATTCAATTCGCAAGTCCCGTTCCTCCATCGCACCTGACCTTTGGAACGTGGGAGTGGGAGACTTGGCTGTAGTAGCGCTATCTGTACTTTGTACATATCAATACCCCGTACAGGCCCTGCCACAACACGGAGTACGGAGTATTACTGAGTACCGATGAACATAAAGTATATTAACAAAAGATATCCATATCCAGAAGTTGTTACGTCGCCCCCCGGGTCTTAATAGGTACCGAGGAAAGATGACAACACCAACCTTGGTCGTCGCTTCCGCCTCTTCGGGCTGAAACTTTCGAGACTGCTTTTTCTTTCCCCTTTATATAAGGTACTCCTCGTAAGGGTCGCCACCAACCCATCCAACTCATCAAACACGATGTTTGTGCTTTCAACCCCGCCAGTCTGGACAGACTACGGAGTACGGATAAGGATATGGATTTTTTTTGCCACGGAACGGAACGAGTGGTTTTCTTGTGTTGGAGGTGGTTCGAAAGTCGATATGCCGAAAGTGAGGAGGTACACCGGAGGACGGAGTCCGTCGAAGCCAGCACTGCCCCGCCGCCTGCATCGATTGCGTATCAAGATGCGTCAAGATGCGTCAAATTGGGTGCGTGCATACGTCGCCCCCGGTCAGGGAATCCCCACTCCCCGACCCCGACCTACTGTTCTCACAGTCAAATCGAACCAGCCGCTTGGCACAAGCAGAAACTACACGTACATTCGGTATCGAATCTCAATCAGCGTCTCCATCTTGAGATTCACAATGATAGGAATATTTTCGAACCCGTGATGGAGAAGACATATTCTACCACATTATTATCGTCATTTTCTATGCAGCACCGTTCACAGCTTGGAAGACTTGGGCGGCTTGGGCCTCTGCGTTGGCGTGGCTAGCGGGTCGTACACCGCCCCGGAAAGGTTGTCGTTCGGCGTGCCGTTGCCGTGGTGGAACAGGCTCCTTGTGTCGAGGAGCGAAGGGTTGAGCTCGTCGACCCGGGTGCACCCGATGAGCCGCATGTTCATCTCCATCTCGTCCTTGAGCAGCTGCATCGCACGGTCCACGCCCTCGAACCCGTACCCGCTCATCGCGTACAGGAACGGCCGGCCGATACCGACGCCCCGCGCACCCAGGCACAGCGCCTTGATGATGTCCGTCGCCCGCCGCACCCCACCGTCGATGTAAATCTCCAGCTTGTTCTCCAAGCCCTGTTGCCGCAGCACCGCCATCGTCTCCGCCAGGATCTCCACCCCGCTGCGCGCAAAGTCCAGCTGCCGCCCGCCGTGGTTCGACAGCACCACGCCCTGCACCCCGATCTCGATCGCCTTCAGCACGTCCTCTACCCGCTGCACGCCCTTGAGGATGATGGGCATCTTGGTGATCGACTGAAACCAGGGGATGTCCTTCCACGACAGCGCCGGGTCGATGAACGTCGAGATGGCCCGCGCCGCTCCCTGGCTCGTGTCCGTCGCCTGGCCCGACTGCACGTTGGATCCCGGGTCCGTGAACTTGCTGCGCATGTCCTTCTCCCGCCGTCCCAGCTGCGGCGCATCCACCGTGATGAACAGGCCCTTGCAGCCCCGTGCCTCGGCGTGCTCCACAATCTTCTTGGTGATCGCGCGGTCCTTGTTGACGTACAGCTGGAGCCACTGCACCTGGTCCGCCGTCGCCGCGTCCATAATCTCGTCGAATGAGCATGACGCCAGCGTCGGGATCATCTGGATCACGTCATGCTTGGCCGCCGCCCGCGTCAGCACCACCTCGCCCTCTGGGTGGCCCAGCTTGCCCAGCGCCGTCGCCGTGACGTAGAATGGCATGTCCACTTTCGTCCCTAGCATTGTCGTGCTGAAATCCACCTTTTCCACGTCCACCAAGATCTTGGGCCGGAACCAGATCCGATGGAACGCCGAATGGTTCTCCCGCATCGTCTGTCCGTGCGTCAGTGTATCAGCGTATCAGTGTGTCGCCCCCCCTGTCCTCCCTGGCATATTCCACGCCACATAGCACAAGGAGACAAAAAAGAAGAACAAAAAAAAAAATTTGCGAAATGACGTACAATCTCATCGTCAGCGGCGCTAGAATAGTATCCCCAGGCCGTCTTCTTCATCACCCGCCGGGCAACCGCCTCAAAGTCCATCAAGTTATAGCACTGGGACAGCAGCGGCTTCTGGGCAAGGCGTTCCTGCCGCGCAGGCTCGTCCGGGTCCTCTTCCTTGGTCTCCATCACGACTGAAGCCATGTCCACGGGTCCCAGGTGTTTTGATTTGTCGAGGTACTTGTCGAGCGTGTCGGGGGGGTGAATGGGATCGAATTCTTCCGTGGCATCTTTTCCCTGTGTCGTTTGTCACGTCAGAATGGGCCCTAGCCTTTCCATCCCATAGGTACGTAGGGGTGTAGTAGCGAAGAAGCCCGTACCGCATATTTGAGGATGATCTTCTGGCCGCCGGGATGTTCTGACGAGGGCAACAAAGTCAGAAAGAATTGCGTCCTACGGAGAGAGTCCTTGAGGAGGGAGGAGGCACATACCCGGTAGGAATTCCGTCACGTCGTAGGCTTTGCCCTGCATAGCACGATATCCCCGTCAATACAAGCTCAAGGGCAGATTATATCAGAAAAGTAAGGTGGGCAGCTGCCGACCACTCACATGAACGATGACCCAGCACGACTCGGCATTGTTGTGCTTGGCCACCTCTTCTCCCTTGAGCGCCATTGTCGCGATTGTTCGTATGGCTCGCCTGTTATTGCCGAGGATCCTCTATTGTCGGGTCTTCGGGGGTATCTATCCGTCTTTCCTGCTGTCGAAAGAAGCGGTATCGAATCTAGAATTGGTGTGTCCAAGCTCAAAGAAAAGGAAAGAAAAAAAAAAAACGAGGAAAAAAAATGAGAAGAAGAGGACAAAGCTACAAATGGAACCAGAATGGGTTACGGGACAACGCTTAATTAAATGCGCGCAACGAATTGACCGCGGAGGTGGTTGTGGAGAGGAAGAAATGGGGAGATGGGGCCCGGTGGATTCAGAAATCAATCTTCAACCGATGTTCTTGAGACGAAGAACCTAGCCTCTAGGGGGTAGGGGCGAAGAAGGGGAATGGGATCTGCTCCTCCAGAAAAAGTGCCGGTGCCCCGATACTGATGGGAAACCATCAATGGTCCAGAGAAGGGATGCCGAGGGCAAGCTACGTACGAAGTGGTAGAAGCGTAATAGTGTACAACGTACGCACCGTAATACAGAGTCAAAGCAGGTTCCGGGAAGGAATTGACAATCGTCTCGCTGCTCATTAGACCGTTGCTTCTCCACCGAGTGCCCCGCTGTCCCACATTGCGACCCCCACAGCTCCCAAGCTCGGGATAATGTATTGCGGGGTAGCTCTTTTACCGGGTTTGCATCTCGTCGGAAAACTTCGGTTAATCCCGGACCCGAACTTCTGCTGGCACACCGAGTACTCACCTATGATTAGTCTGGTCGGTCTCATTCGGTGAGTATGCCAGATATGTGGTGGGCATCGCAGTTGTCACTTATAAATCGCTTCGTTTTTGCCAAACAGTTTGTTGTAAATAATTTATGCAAATATTTCTCTTTAAGAGTTTTATTCATAGGATATCCAGAACGACAATGGAGAAATACACAAAGCTAGGGAAGAAAACAAACATGCATGGGGTATAACAGTCGTGAATGAAGCGGAACCACGCTTCGAACAACTCTTCGCTCGCCTTAGACCTTCCATATCATCATTGAACACATAGCGCCTCACTAAAAACGCTCGGATATCATCGTCAAGAAGGGAATCAGAGTAAAAACAACATGAAAAATGGAACGAAATAAAGAAAGAGAAACGAAAAGGGGAAAGGGGAAGAAAATAACGAGAGAGGGACAGAAAAAGGAAAAAAAAAAGGAGAATCCACAAAACATGTCCATTTATCGGCGTTGCCCCCCCACCCCCCATACCCTGAATGTCTTTACCAAGAATCACCTTGCAGACCCCTTGAGAATCGAGATATGTGAAAGTAGCTTGGTCCGCCGTCGTTCTTCAGAAGTCCTTCCAGGCTGGTTCGACCTGGTTGGCTCCTTGACCGTGTTGGGCTCGATGAACGCCTGTGGGAAGATGCCCCACTTCCCCTTACTATTCGTTCCTGACCAGCACCAGTGGTCGGCGTGGAGCCCTGGGAAGATGTCAGCTGTCCATCTTTGGTGTTGGCCGCGGAAGGTGAGGGGTAAAGGAAGAGAAGGACGAGAAGGAGGACATACAGCTGATGTTAGTGATTTCTTCCCCCTTCTCAAACTTGAGCCATTCCTCCCCTTCTTCCTTGGATTTGGGAGCAAACTTCCATCTCGCCGTGGCCGTGGCGTGGCTCATGGCACCCATGCGGATCTCCGACATGGGGGGCGGATCCAGACGGACAATGTCGAACGGCACGCTGGCCTGTTCCCCGTCGTGCCACGCCGTGACCCACTCCCCGCGATACTTGGCCGGGAACTCGACACCCGAGATGCGAGCCCCTTCCGCCAGCTCGTGCACGGGCGTCTGGTCGGAGAGCCGCCGCATGCCGTACATCTTCTTGACCGTCTTGGTCACCGTCGCCGTCGGCAGCTGCGCCACCTCGTCGCGCCTGTGCTCCAGGGGGGAAGGCACGGGGGCCCGTTTGAAATGGAGGTCGAAGTTGTTCGTGAGCTCGGCAGGGACGCTGTGCTCGTCAACGACGGTGATGCCCGGTACCTCGGGAAGGGGGCGGGGGTGCCGCGCGAGGTGCTTGAAGAGCTGCTTTGCGGAGAAGAAGACTGTCGCATCGCAAACATCGAGCGTGCGATTCGAGTGCACGCAGAAGATGCAGCCGTAGAGGAACTCATCGTTGCGTTTGGTGCTGATGTGACTCTTGCGGAGAAAGCGCATCCGGTATGAGATGCCCTGAAGCGTGTGGCCCCCTTGGACTGGGCATCATCAGCTCGAATCCACTGAGTTGCTTGATTGGAGTGGGTGGTAAAGGAGGTGGCGGGAGATGCCGGTAAGACCTACCGTCGCCCTTCAAGTCCATCTCGACCTTGTGATAGTCCAAGTCGTACATGCAAAACAGGCATCGAGCTACAGGCTGACTACCCGCCATTCCCTGTGTGTGTGGTGGTTAGATAAGTCTGGGTCAGTTTCTTTCTTTCTTTCTCTTTTTCTTTTTCTTTCTTTTCTTTTTCCTTCTTTGACAAAAATGGAGGAGGCCACGATGGCAGGAAGGATGTTTGGTCTAATAAAGACCAGATCAAGGCATCTTGTCTCTATAAGGATGGACTCACGGGTCTCTTGGATCTCCTGACACCAGCCTCGCCTCGCATGACGCTCTTGGCTCCTTCGCAGAACCCCTTGTACAAGTAGAAGGAGCTCTTCGATCCAATAGTGCAGTCTCGAAAGTCCAGTTGCCGGATGGGCCTCGCCACAGCGAGTGCGGCGGGCGCTGATGGATCTTCATTTACAGGGATCAATCCGTCTCTGTCATTATGTATCGGAACCGCCTCAATCCCGTCTTCCACTCCTGGTGGGAAGTTGGGGGGGATAGTAGGCGTCCGACCCACTGGGCGCAGGTAATCTTCTCGACTCCCACCGGCTTCGCGGTTGCCGCCGGCGCCGGTGATGGAATCGGGGTTCTCGGGGAACGACCGCGCCGCTGCAGGATGGTCCATCATGGCGGGACTGGCCGAGCCTTCCGGTTCATTGCGGGTCTCGTCGAAAACAGAGCTCTGCATGGACCCTCCCGATCGTTGCCTGGACGAGTTGGAGTGGTCAGACTCCGCGATGGAGTAAGGGCGGTTTTGTCGACTGGGCAATATCGTAGCGGACATGCGTGGCGGCGGGACCCTCCTCTGAGCACCCGGATCTATCCCAAGAGTGTACGACCGTGAACGACCGGCATAAGGGCCTGGTTCGAAAGGCATCACTTGCCTGGAGCCATCGGGCGGTGTGGTGCACATTTCAGGGGAACCGACGATCTGGAGACGCTGTTGTTCATCGCAAAGGTAGTCTACACCAACGTCCAGGCGACGAGGCGAGACAGGGAATGTCGCTCTCCTCTCGGGTTCGAGACCAGGCGGCGACATGGGGTCGAGGGATGAATCGCTAGGTGACGGCGGCATGGGAGAACGTCGTTCCAGACTTCGCTCAGCAACGTCTCCCTCTAGGTCGTGTGGGGGTGCTGACTTCAGGTCCCAGGGGTCAGCGGCTGGGGGAGGAGGCGGTGGCGGAATAGGGGAGGGAGATATCTCGGGAGAAGTGGAAGCGTCGTCTTGGGTTATTTCGTCGGGACACGGATCTGGTTCGAATGGACTAGGCACAAGCTCGAGCTGAGATGGAGAGCGACCCTGTTGCGGTGTGTAAATGTTAAGACCGCCACCAAAATCGGGATGTGAGAATAGTGGGCGGACAGTGCTGGCAGAGGCGGGGCTCTGTGGTTCGTCCGAGATAGGGTAGTGATCTCTGACGACGGGCTGTAGTTTCATCCTCTTGAGAATCTCGGCAATGTCGAGGCCGGCCGTTTTGCAAAGTACCTGGAGCTCAATATACTTTGCGTGGTCAAAGTCATCGGATTCGATGAAGTCCTCAAAGTCCCACAGTAGGCCATTGAGCTGTGACCTGTACGAGGCGATATCATCTAGAACGAGTTCTTCGAGTCAGACAGAGGCTATAGGCCGACGGGGACATTCCGAGGTCTCTCGAGAAAGGAAAGCGAAGCGAAAAGAAAGCGAAAAGAGTAGCGAGTGCCAGAGTGTATGTACCATTTTCCTTGAGAGCATCGATGAAGTTGTGGCCATAAACTTCCCACAGCCTCGTGGACATGGGTTCGACGAGTTTAAGAATGCGCTCGGCACCCCGAATGAGTTTCTGGCTCTCAGAGAGCATGTCTTCGTTGTCACCTGCATTCGCATTATCACGGGCGATGCTTCCTTGCTGCACAATGTCCTTGAAGGGAGCAAGGACCAGATCGTTGACAACCTCCATCTTGGGCGTGCAGGTCGTGGAAAAGGGGGCGGCGACCCAGGGTTCAAGGCTTAGGGAGTTTTAGTTTTCGGCGGCTCAACCTCGACGGGTTACCAGCCACAGATCCTCCTCCAGGTTTTAAATCGGGGAAATTCGCGCAGGCAGTGGTAGTAATGCAGAGGTAAAAGACCGAAAAATTACCTAGAATGAGAAGTTTTGTAGGACAGAAATGACTGAGCAGAGGGGGAAGACGACAGCGCGTGGTTGAATGAGGACGAAATGAGTACAGGTATCCTCAAGTGAAAGGACGAAAGGACCCATGAAAGCATGGACTGGAGATGAGATGCAATAATTAAGTTGGTATGGGAAGAGCCAAGCTCGAAGATCTCAGGTGTGACAGGATTCCCACCAGCGCCAGAAGCGCGGCCCCAACAACGGAGGAAAAGAAGGCAAAGGCACCAGCGAAGCACTCATGAGTGAAGCGCATGCCTGCCGCCACAAAGGGGGCTGGATAATAAATACAGGTCTGGGCTGCAGGACGAGGGAGACGAGGGAGACGAGGGGGAGTGAGTGGCATTCCGAACAGAACGCCAAGGACACTTGGCGAGCTTTGGGTTAGGGCAGGCAGCCGGAGGCCTGCAGCCTGTTCGTGGACGTGGATGACGAAGGAGTTGTAAGGTAGGTAGGTAGGTAGGTAGGGTAGGTACGGTACCTTAGTTATCCAAGATACCTTACAGGTAGATAGCAATTCTTGCAACGTAGATTGGCGGTTAAGGTATGTATAAGGTATGGGTAAGGTAGGGTAGTGTACCTCCCATGTTGTTCGGTTGGATACTGGTTAGAGGTACCTTAAGTAGGGAAGCATGGAAGTTGCTACCTAGGTAAGGTAATAAGCTTTATAGTAAGGTATACTATAGAAATAAGGTAAGGTACCTTAGTAAAGGAGGCAGGGACCGTAGGGTAGAAGCTGGATGGGATGTCATGCGGACAACGTGCCTCGGAGAACTGGTCGAAGTGGTAGAAGAGGGGACGAAGTATCCGTACATACAACGTACTCCATCCCAATACACGTGTACAGAGAGCCAGCCCCCTGCCAGTTCGCGTTGCCTTAATTATAAGGTACCTAGCCGATGTCGCAGTGTTCGAGACCTTGTGCCCTTCGGGTATTTTAGGCGACATGTAGTGTTTCTGCAAAAGTATCGAAGGACTTGGCCTTTTAAATGTCCCGAAATTCATGTTCAACCAACCACTGTACCTATTCGTCCGGTGTCTGCGTCCGGTATCTGTCCGGTGCCTGTCCGCCGAGAACGCCACACTGCAGTTGGGACCACGTTATTCGCAGGGCGGGCGCTTCCAGGCTGTGAACCCGCCCGTTCCCATGCAGTAATTACCTGTACCTTGTTGATACACCACGACTTGGTGGTGGCGGTGGCGCAACACTAGCGAAACCAGCAGCATTTCCCGTCAGCATACCCATTCAGCATACCCATTATTATAAATTAAGGTAACTTCCAACGTCCTCCATCTTCTGAAGTCTGCCTTGCCTCCATTCAGTCCGCAAATACGATCTACGCCTTGGCCTTCAGAAAAAGAAAAAAAAAAAGAAAGAAAAGAAACCCCTTCCACACCGAATAGAGGAATTGAATTCCCTTTGCGCACATACGTCGCATGTCCAGACCACTTCGCTTCATTTCCGTCCTCGTCCTCCCCGGATTCCAGGGCCCCTTTGCACACGTGCCCATGTAGGTACGTTGTACATCCTTCGTAAACAGGGGGGAGAGTTGTTGGTTGCCTCTCTTCAGCGGCACCACCTACCTCCTTCCACAGCATGACGTCTGTCATACCCCGTACATAGTCTCGCAATCTCGCATCAAGCGGGGAAGCCATTCTATTAAAATCCTGTTCCAGCACAAGCTCCTATGTCATTGAATAATTTGTTGTTGTCCTGGTGTTTCCCCCGTCAACTCAGTCTACCTGGGCGATCAGGTTTCCTCCAATCTGAATGGTGTCGTCGAGTCCACGTTGCCGCTGCCAGAACCTATATCAAAGAAAAGGACGGAGCGAACCACACGATTAGCCGAATGTCATCAACTGCCACGCCACACAAGAACTCGGAACGCGAAACTCGGGAACTATACTCACATTTCATCGGCAAGCCCTTGTCCGCGAATGGATGCCTGCCGTGCCTCCTCCTCCAGTACCGCTCTCGAGATCTCCTCGGTCTTGGCAATACCTGGGGCAGCAGCCTTCTCGTCCACCTCCTGGTTGAGATTCTCCTGGAGAAGCTTCTTCTTCATCAAGAATCGCTCCTTCCTCTCCTTTTGGACCCCTGGGCTGTTCATCTTGCTCATGACGACCCGGACGGCCATTTGCACGGCCAAGTAGAAGTGTTCCGCCAGGAAGACGCTGAGCAGCACCGCCCACCCCTTGTGATCCGTCAGCGACCCTGCGGCCCCGTTGGGGTCCTTGCTGCTGCAGAGCGACACGATGGCCGCGCTCGTCAGTGTGCCGAGCCAGGAAAGGAACCCCAGGGCGTTCAGCCACGGTCCGATCGAGTCGGCCCGCCATGGGATAGGGCGTCGGCTGGTGATGGCAATCTTGACCGCGTCCGATCGAAGCTCCACCCAATTATTGACCAGGAAACAGCACGCGGCGAGGGGCCAGGCCACGGAGAAGAGCGACAGGTACCCGAACTGGACGACCATCTCCCGGTAGTCATTCGTCACGTCGTACGTCTCGAGCTCCACCTCACTTCGCACGCGGTTCAAGAATGCTTCCTCCTCCGGGGGGTCCTCGATTTTCTTTCCCTGGCCGTTGTTGGTGATCTTGGACTGCACTTCCTTCGCCTCGTTGAGAACCTGGCGCTTGACGTATGGCAGCATTGTTTCGGTGATGAGGTTGACGACTTGAGCAGTGACGGTGAAGTAGAACATCTGGTTGCTGATGCGAGCCGGGTTGATTACAAACTCTTGCGTCGCGAACGCCTTGCCACTGGGCGTCAGCCTCTGCGCCGCGGCTCTCCAAATGTCTAGGTACGGGACCAGGAAATTTCCGAAAGGGATGTAAACGAAGGCGGTGAAGAATAAGGCCATGTAAGAGACGATGAAGTTAAGCACAAACTGCTTCTGGACCAGTGCAGCGTGATGGGCTGCTCAAATTATCAGCGACATAGGCACGGGGGAAGCGATGACACACAGGTAGGACGGCACGGCACTCACCGTCGAGCGTCTCATAGTTCTCCATTTGGGTTAGGCGTTCGGCAAAGGCTTGCAACACGGTAGAGAAAGTAGGGGTCATGACCACCAAAATGACCGTAGGCAGGAATGTCTACATGTTGTCAGCCAAGACTTGGAAAAGGAGCAGGCGACGACAGGGAGGGCAAAGCTGTCCTCACCAGATACTGCTTAAACGGCCCGTCGTACACTTCAGTAATGAAGATCTCCAACGAGTTGCAAGTGGCGATCAGCGTTCCCAGGACCAAGATGCAAGCCAAGGCGAAGGGAATCTGAAGCAATTGAGTGCCGAGGCGCTTGAAGGGCGAGTAGACCTTGACCATCTCTCCCGTGACCGGGTCCTCGGCTTCGTGTTCAAACTCGAACTGTGGTCTCGGATGCTGGATGTTGGACACGCCGCGGACGCCCCATTGTATTGCCAAGTCGACCTCTTTCCTCTTCCAAAATTCGAAGAAAACCACGGACCATAATGAGACGAAGACGGTGTACAGCCATGAAAACTGACCGAGCAGCGAATATGTGGCGAAGCCTGCGGCGGCGGGGAAGACGAGAAACTTGAAGTAGGACTGCATAAAGGCAAAGTAGAAGGCGATACTCTCGCCGAAGCTGTTCCGAATCTCATTGAGGTTGGTGTCATCGATGATGTATTTGGAGCTCATCTTCTGGATCCAGTTTCGGTTGAAGGTGTGGTTATGCAGGGGGAAGATGGAGTCGACGTTCTTCCAGAGACCGGAACCAGGGGTGATACCGGCGCCACCTTCGTTCTTCGGCTTGGTCATGAGAAGGTAGACAACACGCAACCGTTCGGCCTCCGACACGGGCTCATCGCGGAACGAGCTTGCAAGATCCTTGTCCGGGCCAACTGTGCGAGCGCCGTTCAGCCAGTCGCTGAGGCGAGACCAGTAGACCTGGTCGCTCAAAACCTTCTCGGACGCGACCTTGACGAATATGAGGAGAGACCGGTCTCTGCCGTTGCGGACCTCGGTGGTGAGGCCGACCTTGACGAGGGCTTCGATGAGCTGGATAAAGCCGGCTTCGGCCTCGGCTTTTCCTGTTCCATAGACGACGAGCTTAAGTTTGATACTCTACAATAGGAGGGAGAAAAAAAAAAGAAGAAAAAAAAGGGGGGG